TACCGAGACTTCACATGGAACTACGTTTTCTTTAAAAATTGCTTTTTAATCTATTGTGCCATTTTATTCAAGAGGAGAAAAGGAATAGCTGCCTCTGTGTAAGACAGTGGTGGAGACCTGGAGAGGTTAGAGCTGAAAGTTTTTTCTGATACTGCCATCACTGCAGTCGAGTATGATTCTTCCTTAATCTTAATGATATCCAGCAAACTAAGATTTCTATGCCCTAACCATGGAGAATAAACAACAAGTTAAGGGCAGTAAGAAATGACACATTCTATTAAAAAACAAACAAACAAACCAAAACAAAACTGTGCAGGTATTGCTGATGGTGAGTTATTTCACTGCTCCATCATCATGTGCAAATCCACAATCGTGTTGGCAGGAGGAAATAAGAAGGGTTGAAGACCACTTATGGTTGGCTTGTTTGTTGTTGATTTTTTAAAAATATAATTAGTTTCTGCATATACCTCCATTGTCATGAATTTCTTAGTAACACTGGAAAGGGGAAAATAGGGTGCCACAAACAGTAAGTTTTGCTGTTTTAAAAATAACTCAATTCTTCCCCTACAATGCTGCTTTGGATCACACTTCCTTGCAATAACAGGAAATAAAAGAGAGTGCACAGAAGATATGCAGGCAAGAGACACAGAATTAAGTTCTGTCCACCTAGAAACAGCAATCCAACTCACTTTTTGAATAGGATAGTCTTGCTTATGGTCATGTAACGTACAACTATCGTATTGTGCAGAAGGTGGTGAAGCTGGTGACTAGGGTGACAAGTGCTTGGGGGCATGTACAGGGAGGTGTTAGAGAAGACAACTACATCTGCAGGAAAGAACATTACAACATAACTAAAATGCCAAATATATAGCCCTTTCTTAAAAGCATGCATGGAAGCATTTGCCCCTCCTCACTGAAGGATCAATAAGCATCCTCTGCACCATCATCAATCATCCCACAGACAATCTGAGACATTGACAGAAGAAAGAATGAAGGAGAAAAGGAGCAATGGGAGGGAAGAAAGGGACAATTCAGAAACAGCATGTTGGTTAAATGTCAGCTGCAATGACAAGAACAGTAAAAAGTAATGGAAGGATAACGGGCTAAGAACAGTCCTGCCCTTCAGAGGACAAAATGACATTCTCTTATTGCCCAGGAGGCTTTCAAAATGAGGTGTCTACCTCCAGCAGAGTGAAGATTAACCTTCATGGAACACTTTGTATGATGAGTTGTTATATGTCAGGAAATGCAATTTTAGGTGAAGTAGTTGATAGAATAAAATCAGTATTTCAAGCAAACAAGGGAAGTGAAATGTTTTTAAATGTTAAAATGATCTAGATTATTACACTGATGTCAGAGCTTTCAAAACTCTGTTATGGAGACATGTAACAGTCAAAAACCATAATAGCTTCTTTGCTGCTTTTCCTTCAGGGATAGCTCATTATTAACTGGTTTGCTTTCATGTTCAGATTGCTGTGAGATTCTGGTTTGGTTTTCAAATTATTTAGGGAGGTAAAAGTGCTTTTAATCCTTGTGGTCAGGGAATGGATATTTAGTATTCTGGAATTAAGTTGTAGGTATTCTGCTGAAGCCTGGACAGACATGTAAATGGAGTCTCTTGCAAGCATCTAGTGAGACATACACGCACCTGAGAGGTACAGTCATGCTGAAGGAAGCTAACTCCACTTACAGTAACAAGCCTTGAAGAAACAATAGGCCCAATACAAACGCTCTTGTATTTTGCTAGTGCACTAGCATTACCTGCATTTAAATTTTTAATTCAGACTGACAAAATTTCAGTTATTCACCTGCCACGGAAATTTATTTCTTTCCACTTCACCCCCAATCACTTTTTTTGGTAAAGAAAAGAAAGTCGCTTCTCAGCACTTCCTTTTCCTCCTTTAGCCAAGCAACTTTTAGCAACAATGCTCCATGGAATGATTTGCTGATGAGGACGTAGACAGCATGCTTATTTCATATAAGTTATTTAGTATATGATAGAGCCAGACAGGCATCAATCCATGGACCTGCCACAAGAAAACCATTTAAAATTTATCCAGTTGGCTGTCAGAAATGACATGGCTATCTACTTTTCTTAGAAGGAAGATTGACATGATTTTCCACCTTCCTTCCTCATAAACACTTAAGTTATGTAGTCCTCTAGTGTAACCATGCAGCTTGATGACTGGCTATGCCTCAGTTTCCAGAACAGACGCAAGCATCTGGTAAGTCACAGGAAAACTCGGACATTAGGTCTATGCTTAGCGAACCACAGGGATTATCCATTTTTTACTTCCTGGAATTCAAGGAAGTGGATAGAATACTTAAAACAGTTTTGTTTCTGACTGTTTAGAGAGCACGTCTCTTCCCATACATAATTTTCCTCAATTGTAATTAGCATCAGCCAGAAGTCCTTAAATCAAGATCAGCCTCCTGAAAACTAAAGGCTGGACAATTCTCACAGGAGACACTTGTCCTAGATTACAGTGTAAAATGTACCAAAAGGAAAAAAAAAAAAGTATTCTATTACCATCTTCAGGAGCTGTTGAGACCAGGTGGGGCGGTGCTCCCAGCCTCCCCACTCTGGACTATCTTCTGTTAATGGGCACAACAATGCCTTATCGCCTGACCCATCGATAGCTCGCTCCTGGGCTATCTCCTGTTAATGGCCCATCAAGGAACTGCCTCACGACTCCCCATCCCATTGTGAGATGCTCCACCCGGGGGGGAAGGAGCCAAGCAGTCCATGCCAAATAAAAACTGAGATTTCAAACACCCTAGCAGCCTTCTTCCACTGGATTCTCAGAGGAGTTTTTCCCCCCACTGGAGTTCCAGAGGACAAGAGCTACCTACCTACCACTGGACCTTCGGAGGAAGACCAGACTCTTTTACCTGATCGCTGCTTCAACAAAACTACATCCATCGCTTCAGGAGGACTGAAGCCATCATCTTATCGGACTGCTACTGCCACCCTAACAGGGTGTCAGGTTGTATTTCTGACTCTGTCAGGGTAAACCAGTAGGTTGTTTGTTTTTCCCTGCCTTGAGGGAGGCTCCTGCCTTCCTCCGCAGACACCTGTCTTTCAAACCAAGACAACACTTAAGTTATACGTCCAGAGACGTAGGCTGATGACCATGCTATAAATTATATGTCCTTACACAGGACATTCCTAATAACTGCAAAGGGTAAGGGCGGTATCTTTCCTGATTTATTTTAGGTCAGTGTGGTTATTATTTGCTTTCTCATATGTTAGTGTTAAAACCAGTAATGCACAAGCATTACTAAGGCAGCTTAAGGAAGACAGATAGGAAAAACAACTTCATGAGAAGTGTCTGGGGAGAGTCTGTCCAGTCCAGCTATGTTATATTATCAAGCTGGCCGTGCAGTAACTTGAGAGACGAAAGGGTCTTACTGCAAGTGACCTGCCAATGCCCAAAAGCAATCATTTTAACTCTTGATGGATAAACTTCTACTATTTAAATGAAGACCTCTTAAGCACACATACAGCAAGTGATCAAATGAAATCTGAAACCAAATCTCAGAGGCAGTGTATCATTCTCTAGCATTTTTTGATGTTATCATTATGGTTTTTCCAGGTGACAACATAAATATGCATTTACAACTCTAGTGTCAACAGTGTATAAAGTTGTGTATTTTTGTGTCAGAACATGTAAATGGCTCTTAAGGACTACATAATATATACTAAAAACACACATACAAAATTTACATCTATAGCGAGGATGGATGAGGATAGGTCTCAGATGGGAAACCACAGGAAGAACCATCAAATGAACCAGATTGTTTCTGACAGAGTTGGACAGATGTGGGTTCAATATGACCTGAAGTCTACTCAAGATCAAACTCTCAATTTAAACTTGAAGAAAACTCTTCTCCAGTGAGCCATAATCCTCATCCTGTTCAAAGTCTCAGTCCAGTGATAAAGGCTTTGATTGCTTTAACTGTGACCAAAATCCACTGACATAAACTTCAGTAAAGGCTGTCAGGACCTATATTAAAATTCAAGCCATTTCAGGTCTTTTGTTGGATGTAGAGCTGGTGAACTGGAAGAATAAGGAGGGGTGGGACCAGAAGAGTGAAACAGTTTAACTATCTTCCAACAGTAAGATAAGCAAACCAATTAAAAGGATTGTCATCCTGTAATTACCAGAGTGTCCTATATTACAGAGAGAGCTGAAGCTTTGTTGCACAATAAACACGCATGCTTGTAATTTAATATGAATAATGAGCCAGATGCACGAACAAGACTATTAAATTGTTATCACAAGCAGTTGTGTCCCTCATTGATTAATGACTCCGTGTGTCACCAAGGAAAGGAACTCCATTTTTAAGTGTGGATTGTCATCATCAATGTTGCCAAAGCAACTCCTGTCTGCTTTTGACTTCCCCTGAACGTGGCAATTAAACCATTACATGACGAAACAAAACAGTGATTATGTGGAAAACTGAAGGCTGTTAAAGAGTAAGGGACTGGGGAAGCCAGATTTGTTTCCCAAGATAAATGCACCTGTGCAAGAACCATGTTCAAGGTCAGGCCACATTCTCAATATGAAATTTATCATGGTCCCCCACTCAGTTTCATATCGGATGCTAATCATAAAATCTGGAATAGTTTCATACACTAGTAGAAACCAAACAGAACCAACAGAAAGACATGAATAAAAAAAAAAGTGTGAAAAACACTTATTTTACAGTAAATAAAAATTAACTTGAAGAGGCATAGTTAAGTAAGAAAACAGTTGAATTCTCTCTATATATTCTTTTTACAGAAAGAGTATCTATATAGAGAGAATATGTATGTACAATATGCAGAGATAGTTGAACGTACACTCCACATGACTCATCCAAAACATATGCTTGATCCTTTGGGGTTTTTTTGTTGGTGGTGGTTTGGTTTGGGGGGTGTGTGTGTTAATTTATAGAGAAGATTTATACAGAATGTTCTACCAAAAGCAGCTACAACCTGGCTTCTTCCAACTTACAAGCTTCCCGGAGTTTTTCCTTGTCATAATGTAGACCCTCATATTCTTGCAAATTAATCCTGTTCACTCTAATCCGCAGGCGATCTGGGATGGAATGAGGACTGCAAGAAAAGAAGAAAGCTTCTTAAATTAAGTGTTCCATGGAAGAGCAAAACCAAAACAGGGTATAAAGTGATTTTAATCTTCTCTGAAAGACGACAAAGAGCAAACCTCTTCAAAACTGGGCCAATTCCTCACAGGCCCATCACTGCATTTAAAATTATGACTACCCACTGCACAACATCAGCATTACACCTTAAATTATAAGCAAGATCAAGAATTCCATTTCCTTGCTGTATTGTCTGGAATTGCAAAGGTTTTTCTGAGTTCTCGAATCTTTATATAGCTACCCCTGCCCTCTGCAGTTTGCCTTTTTTTACATCCCTAGGGCCCTACCACAGCCTGGAGATCTGCCAAGCTGTGGTTCAAGACACAGATGCTTTCTTGGGAAGTCTCTCAGGCCAACCATTATTCTGCCCATGAGAACATCCACCCTCATTCCTGGAGCATCCTCATTCAGCATCTCTGTTCTGGGAAACAGGCAACAGAAATGTGGCTAAGAACCAGATTTCCAAAGTAGTGAGTCCAACACACAGAACCCAGGAGGACTTTCAAAACCAAGTAGCAGTACAGGAACCTCATTTCTAGAGATTTCTGCCAGATTTAGATACCTTAATTGTCTATATAATTTGAAACATTTAGTGGGTCCCTATCTATAAATTTAAGTGTCCATATATTGATAGAAAGTTGTCCTGAAAAGCTTTATTTCGATTTCATGCTTGCTTCCACTTCACTGTAACCTACCATTTGATTTTAAGTTTAGCTGAATGCTACATAAATCAACTTGGCCACATTTGCATTTTCCACTTTTAAAGAAAGGTAGATAACCTGTGTACTATAATGCACATAGCAAATGTCTGTCCTGTAGGAACTGGACCCTGGGTCTGTTAAAAGTAGATTCTTCATTCTGTGCTTCCACCAAAAGACCATCTATCTTCTCTGTTTTAATCTAGATAGTAACAGAACCCTGTCAGTGGTTTTATTGCCTAATATACACATTGCCTTTTAAAAGTTAAAATATTGTGCACTGTCATAAACATACAGGTTTACTTCTTTCTCTGTCTCAATTTTAAAATATTTGACCTACAACATTTGCACTGCTAGTGCATGACAAGCTACATGTCACAAATGAAAACTTTTTTTTCTTTTTAAACAAGCAAGCAATTTTCTTTTTGGCTAGAAAATACATCAGACCTAACAAGACACATGGTTTGCAGTCATCTCTTGGTAAAGCCACTGGGATTACGATTAGTAATTATTTCAGTGTTAGCTTATTGCATGCTTTCTCTCTGTTGGTATAAAAAGCTCTGTCACATCTGGATAGATGAAAATCAAGTGCCAATTAAAAAAAGCTCTATTGGCACAAGTACTCTTTGCTTAAAAAGTGATAAAGGATAATGAATTGAAGGTGCCTCCAAAACTGAAATGTAGGATGGAGCTGCACTGAAGAAATTCACGTTCTGAACAGGAGTTTCTGTATTAGTGATGAAAATGAAGGTAAGATACACAAAGAATAGCTTAGAAAAAAATCATAAGTGCTTAATAGTGGCAGCAAGACTGACACACTCAGAAGCATGTAGGCTACCCAATATTTTCCCTGTGCTGACTGACAGGGACTATTGTGTCAAAGTGCCCCAAGATGCCAGCAAACTGCCCCTATTTAAGGTAACCTTTTGCAGTTTGATCAGACACTTGGAATGGTAACTTCCAGCACAGCTTCAGGAGGCAGTTTTCTAGCTCAGGTGCCATTATGTCATCCTACAGAACAGCACCCTCCACCTGCAGGCTCTACAGCTGGCTCAGCAACCCAGAGAAGATGAGTGCCTGCAAATCGAGGGGAAAGGTGCCTAGATGGAACAAGAACATAATTGCACTCAGTCTGAGTGGTTTTTTTGTTGTTCTTTTTAAAACAAGTTTAAATGTCACATCGCTGGCTGAGAAATTAACATAGTCTAAGGAACTATGTTCCCTTCAAATTCTATAAAACGCAAGTTTCAAAAATGAAAATCATAGGAGATTTTCCTTTTAGCCAAGAGAAGATAAGAAAATGTTTGTCAGAAAACACAGGAATTTATCTGCATAGTCTTTGTCTGAGGGAAGAAAAGAAATCATTCACTGCATGTAGTAGTGTTCATGAAAATGACAGACCGACAGCTCTGAAAAATGAAGTCTTTTATGCACTGGTACAATACGGGAAGAAACTATGCCGCCTTTCCCATAATGTTCTGCCACCGCACATTATGATGAAGGTAGCTCAGTCTTCCAGCTGATCAGTTCACAACCCGGGAATTGTTCATAGGTGTCAGGGAGGGACTTCTGGTGAATTACCTCAACTACTTTGAACTCAGCTGGGAGGAAAAGGGATGGGAAGACAGGAGAATTCAGCTACTTATTTCTGTTGTAACACTTAACCATGCTACAAAGAGCCATCTGTGCTAAATTAAGCCCAGTGTAAAACCAACCCCCAAAAACGTCTCAAACTGTTGCTTCTCCTGAAACCAGCACAAAATCCATACTGCTGTGTTGAAATCTTTGAGCAACTCAAGATGGAACTCTACAAAAAGTATGCTTTCCAATGTCTAGTTCAAAACAACCGCTTGACCAAAAGCTGATACTCCTGTGCAGAAATTACTCAGCCCAGCACAAGGGATGTTTGCCCTCCAAACCATAGCCTCCCCCTACTTGCTCCTTTCTTTTTCTTCCTTGCTACACCCTCATCTGTGTGTGATGCTCAGACCCTCCCTTCCACTCTGTGATCCTGTGCTGTGGTACCCAGTGCTGCTCTCCATAGTGACGGAAAACAGTTTAGTAAACCAACTTTGCATCTTCCCGAGGTAAACTGTATTTTTAGCCCCTAATAGAAGCTCATTGACTTCTTTTTCTCCTTGATTTGTCCCCTTAGATCTTCCATAGCAGATATCTGAGTGATACTTGCCTTTCAACCACCTACTGCATGCCATAGTCCAGCTCTCCCAGAAACCTACTGGTGTCCTTCACCATAAGAGATGAATTTGTTTATGTATTTTTGTAGCTCTGCACTGTCTGTGCAGAATTTACTACAGCTATGAGGTCTTTAATATTTCCCACTCACAATTTCACCACTACTCCTTCTACACACTGACCTTTCTCATGTTCCTTAGTGTATGGAAGGACAGGAGAGTGCCTGATACAGGCAACTGGAGACAAGATATGCTGTATTGTGGGAAATACTGGGGACAGGGCAGGTAACCTTCTCCCCAGTTTCCATGTATCCCTGTGAGTTTGGCTCAGTCATGCAATTGTTTCCACTTCCAGATGTTGAGGTGAAACAACTCCAGCAAGCCTGGGATCGCTAAAAAAATGGTTAATGAATTATTTTTCATCTGACCCAGAACAATCAGCATTGAATCAGAAGTGATTTTAAAGTTGCTGTTTCGAGCTTTCTGTTCAGTACTTACACATAACTATGGCGTTTGAATTTACAGAAATGATAACAATTTCTATGATATCTGATTTAGATAAAAGAGAAAGAGTATTAAAACAAAGAGAAGGAGCAATGTAACCAAGTTCACACATCTAGTCTTGGACAGCGGCAAGAATGCAACATGACTCTTCAGCCCAAAGTTCAATCCCTTATTCCCAATGCCATCTACCCACTCCTTCTCAAGGCTACCTTCTTTAGGGTAAAAGTTAGGTTTTCAATAACAGTGCAGTCATTTTTTGTGTTGCTTTTTTCCCCTCCTAGAGTCCCATCAAGATTTTTTACTTGTAGTTGAAAATGGAATGCCTGAAGATATTTGGATGATTGTCTAAATAGTTGTAATATATTACAAATAATTCTAATAACTGTCTATATTATCTACAAAGATTTTTTTAAAGTTATCATCCAGACCCAAGACTTTTTAGTTCTCTGGGAAGACAATGCAAGAAAAATCAGCAGAACTGTCTTCCTTTTATAGTTCTTTGCTCGTAACAACTCATTTGGCATAAAAATACTAGGAAACCTGTGTAAAAGCAGCTATGATAGGGCTTTTTGCTTCTCAGTTTCTAAGCACTATTTCAAGGGTGGACTTCCATGGCAACCACTATCAACCAACTAGTGGTAGACTTAGGTTCTACCACACAAGTGGCCTCATTTCAAAATACGTCATTGCAATGAATAATCCAGATATATCATGAAAGGGGGAGAGGAAAGAAACACAGGGAAAAGAACAACTTCTCCAAGTGTATGTTTGGAGCCTTTATGTCAGGGTGAAGGGATGGTCATGTTGACCCTATATTCAGTGCTCAAAAAGGCCTTTCAAAAAGGGTAGGGGGTGAGGATGTTAAACATCATGCCAACATCTGCCAGTCCTTGGTTAATTGCCATTTGTCTCACTGCAACCTTCCTGTGAGGACAGGATAGTGTTTGGATGACAAGGAGAGGGAAAGACAACACTGACTTCCGTAGCTATGCTGACTCACTACCTAATACCACTTAAGAAAGAAAAACATGGACCTTCTTTTTACAAATGTTATTTCCTGGCTTGAAGTCATTGGCAACCTATTGCATCTGTAACATCAGCTTCTTGAGTCAAATTAGTCTTTCACCTGAAAAGAAGTGAGCAAACCCTTTTTATTTGCTTGGAACTGAAGGAAGAAAAAAGATCTGAGATCAACAGCAAATCTAAAATATTTTTCTTGCTCCAGGAGCCACACACACTCTCCAAAAACACCTTTTAACTAGAAAATATCTAAGAAGAGACTTCCTATGCTTTGTAAAAAGTATAGAGTTTTTTGGTACATCAGTAAACCATATATCTCTGAATTTGCTTCTGTGGGGAAAAAAAAAAAAAAGCACACCACATTAAATGTAATGTATTATCTGAGGAGAAATAGTTCCTTTCCAGATCAACTCTGGGAGGGTAATCAGCTGGCAAGTGTCAGAGTTTCCTGTTCTCCTTTTTATAAAGACAGGGTACTACTATTACATAGGCAATCTGTCTGTGTGTTAAAACATACAACTGGAGAACTTGGCCTTTTG